GGGAAGACAGGGATTGTGTATGTAAAAATATTACTAATTAGGGACCAGCAGTTAGTGTAATGGCTATGTTGCTGGACTCCCACGTAGTTGACCACGGTTCGAGTCCTGGACCCGCTTAAAACTCACGCCAGGTACGTGTGCGTGTGTGCCCAAGATCCCGAGAGGAGAATGGAGGAGAAGGGATTGTGGCGTGGCCATCCCCCCGGGGGGGGGGGTGATTTCTCGCTTTCTGTCTCTCTGTCTCTCTCTGTCTGGCGAGCGCATGCGCCCTATAGCAAAAACCTCTAAAAAAAAAATTACTAATTAAAGGAAAATGGGGGGAAAAAATGAAAAAGATGACATATGGCCATAATGCATGGAACCTTGTGTACATTGTTTTCTAAAACAGAAAGTTAACTGCTACCTAGGTACCTTTTAATGTTCTCCTTTCCTGTAGGATCAATTACTATGAGAGACTTCAGTTTTCAAATGAAAGCAAACAAGTTTTTTCTTCAAATAGAGTAATAGTTTGGGAGAAATCAAAGTAATCTTGAAATCCCTATTCGTACTGTCAAACGTGTTCAATAAGGCGCACACGAGCAGGAGGGCCACCAACCAGGTTCACTCGGTCCTCATTTCCATGACTAAGCCATAACCAGTCTCTACCTCGTAGTGACACAGCCCTTCAAGAAGCCCAGAGCAGTAAACCTTGAACCACTGCTCAGAACGGGAACAAAGAGCACTCATTCCATTCTTGGTTTTGGAGGCTTATCCAGTCTTTTGCCAAAAGAAAAATTCTTATCCAGGCACTAACAGATAGCGTAATGGCTACATTGCTGCACTCCCATGTAGTCAACTGGGCTTCGAGTCCCAGACCTGGTGGCTTAAATGCACACCAGGCGCATGTGTGTATGTGCCCTAGATCCCAAGAGGGGAATGTAGGAGAAGGGATTGCAGCATGGCCATCCCCCTCTGCCAGGGGTGATTTCTCCCTTTCTGTCTCTCTTTCTGGCGAGCACACGCACCCTATAGCAAAAACCTCTCAAAAACAAACAAACAAACAAAAAAAACCCTTATCCCTACTCCCACTCTATCCTTTCTCTTTGTCATGCCCTTATAACCGTTTCCTCCTAAATTATTCTTCTACTCAATCTTTGCATTAGTTGCTCTAAAATTTCTTTCAAATGCCCCTAAGTTTCTACCCTCCAACTCTTCACTTCATCTGAAACCTGCCTCCCCAAATACACTGCTCTCAAGTGGGAGCCTCACCTTCTAGACATCCCACCACCTGTATCCTGAGACTCAGGAAGTAGAGAGTGGATAACATTATTCTGATTGCTTAGTGTAACAGGCCCTCTGGCAAATTAAAAAAATAAAATAAAATAAAAGTGTAATGCAAGAAACCTGATTGAATCCTGGATTTAAACACACATACACACACACACACACACACACACACACACACACACACACACAAAATTCAAGGACAACCTGGAAGAGCCAAACACGGACCATTACCCTGAACAGTTCTATGGTTTAAACGCATATGTCCCTCAGAAACTCATATGTTAGAACTTAACCCTCACAGAGGTGGTATTAAGGGATGGGGCTTTTGGGGTATGATGAGGCAGAGCCTTCATAGATGGAATAGTGCTCTTACAAAAGAGGCTCCAGAGAGCACAAATGGTCTAAAACAAATACATCCTTCAATTAATGTTAATTTTTTATATGTGATATTGGAATTATGATTAGGTAGGAAATTATTCCTATGATGCATATTCTAGGCTCTCCATGCTAAAATGTTTCAATTATAATGATGTCTTTAATATGGTTTCAGTTGGTTTTTAAAATATGTAAAAATCTAAAGAAAGAAAATGGCCAGCTAGCATATGGCATGATGGTTCAAGGATCCCACATGGCCAACTGCATGGTGAGTTCCAGCCCAGCAGTTTGAAAAACACACCATGTATGTGTGCGTGTATGCCTCAAATCCCAAAAGGAGAATGAAGGAGACGGGACTGCAATGTGGCCATCCCTCCTGGGGGATGAAATCTCACTTTCATTCTTTCTCTGTCTCTCTTCAGCAAGCACATACACCCTATAGCAAACTTTTTAAAAAAATAATAATTAAACAAAAGACGGGACCAGCAGTTAGCATAATGGCTATGTCGCTGGACTCCCACGTAGTCGACCGCGGTTCGCATCCCGGACCTGGTGGCTTAAAATTCACACTGGGTGCGTGTGCGTGCGTGCCCAAGATCCCGAGAGGAGAATGGAGGAGAAGGGATTGCGGCATGGCCATCCCCCCTGGAGGTGATTTCTCGCTTTCTGTCTCTATGTCTCTCTCTGTCTGTCTGGTGAGCGCATGCGCCCTATAGCAAAAAGCTCTCCAAAAAAAGAAAAAAATAATAATAATTAAACTAAAGAAAGGAAGGAAGAAAGTGGACTAATATGGAAGATTTACTGCTGAGTGAAGCAAGCCAGGCTATGAAGGAGAGACACTGTACGTCTCCACTGACTGTCTGCACTCTATGGCAGAAACTGAAATACTGAAGGATATAGAGGCATGGAGAACAGTTACGGGTACTGGACACAGTGTGGAAAGAGGGTGGGAGATAGCGGAGAGTGACAGCATCGGAATCAAGGAGAAAAACAGGGGGGAAGACATTTAGGAGACACAGAAATGGAGTACTGTCTGTTGATAACGTGTATGATGTCTGCAACTGGACTGGTGTGAAGTTTATTCATGTTGGGTAATTCATTTCATAAGCTATAGTGATGTACAATAATTGAATGTATAAAATAAATTAGAATAATAAAGAAAGCAATAACAAATTTTAAAAAAATGGCAAGATGTTAACAGAGTAAATTCAGATGAAAGGTAATACGGGTGTTCAGCAACCTGTATTTTCAATTTGCAGTAGCACCGAACATTGTCAAAATAAAATGCTGAGGGGCAGGAAGACAGAAAGCACAGAGGCAGTCGGCCTGACAGAGCACAGGGCAGAAGCAGCAGTGCTAGTTGTAACAATTACGAAAAGCAGCTGCAGGATCTCGGTGGGCCTCAGAACCTCGTGGGTCCCAGCTGAGGGAGAAGGAAGTAGACCATCTCCAGGTATACAGCTCCCTTATTCTACTACTAACTCTCAGCTCTAAAACCCAAAAATAACCAACTGTAAGGTAGAAAACCCACAAGAGTGTTGTAAAGATAAAATAAAACAAGAATCTTAAATAGTTAGCCAAATTCCTCTCATATTAAGCAGAAATAATAAATATTAACTTCCCTCTTTGGAGAAATAGCTTAAAAAATCTTCAGAGGAAAAAAAATGAAAGAAAGTAGAACTACTAATTAATGTAGCACAAACAAGAAATGCAATTAGATTCATTTTAATATCTGTTCCATTTCAGTTTGTACCTAAACTATCAGCTCTAAGAGGCTAAATATAAATGTGCTCTGATGAAGCCACAAAACCAAAAAGATGGTAAGAGAACATCCTCGCAATTTAAAACAAACTAGATACTTTCAATGAGTTTAGTCTAGTAAACAGCTAATTGTAGGGAGTTAGAAAATCTCCAAAATAAAAAAACAAGAAAATTATATTTCAGAACTTCGGGTAACAGTCTGGGCAGATTTCAGATCAAAAATGTTAAAAGATTTCTCTCTTTTAAAAGAGAGTAAGGTAGAGGAGGCTTAAGACACATACAAAAGTATACACCGATTATTTTCACTCATAAAAAGACTGTGAAGGCAGATGAAATTTAACTCATAAATAATTAAAGCTCTTCAGGGATCTGAAGGGCTTGGCAGTAAGTCTGTATCGGACTCTAAATTACCTCCTTTCGGTATGAGGAATGGACAGGCTGGAGCCAAAACTGAGGAGGACAGCAGTGGCCTCAAGGAACGTGCAAGCTACAAGGGACAGGGGAGTGAATTTGAGATTTTTGTTGTTGTTGTTGTTGTTGTTTGTTTTTGAATCAAAATTCACAGTCCTTGTGGATCACTTGGGTATAGAAAGAGAGAAAATATACTGGAGAATGACCTCAAGATTTTGGGGGTTTGAGCAACTGGTATCAAACACAGAAACCTTTTAGAATACTATCTTTCCCATTAGCTGAAGGATTGGTCATGTTATCAAAAGGCATTTAAATATAACGTTAAAAATAACATTAGTTATTTCATTAACATTAGAAAATAAAGCATCTGGCAAATTGGTAATAGGTACTAGAAAATATTATTTTGCTTTTTTCCCTGAAGTTTAATTCTATGTAACTTTTTTTCTTTTAAATTGCTAGAGGGTACATTTGCTTGCCAGGGGAAATGGAGAGACAAAGAGAAAGAGACAAGGAGGAAGCAACCCTAATGGGGAATGATCACGATACTATCCCTTCTCCCCCATTTCACCATCCTGACAGGATCTGGGGCGCGCGCACACACACACACACACACACACACACACATGCAGAGTATTTTCCAAGCTACCAAGATCAGAATTCAAACCCTTGTCGGCCATGTGGAATCCGGCTCCCTTAACCAAGAGGCTACAGGGCCAACCCAATTTTGCACAACTTTTAATTAAGCATAAGTTTAATTCCATATGACTTCAGAGTCTTTCCGGAAATACAGGAACCAGAAGGAAGAGAAAATATTTGAGAAGAAAAATGTAATATGTTAAGCTTGGTGGCAGGCAGTCCAAAGTACAGAACTGGTGGATACATAGGCTGAGAAAGAGACACAGATTGGGATTCTGCTCACTATAAATGTCAGTTAGGGAAACACAATAATCACATCAAAAATGGGATGAAATTCATTAGGATAAATGACAGGCAAAACATAAATAATACAAATATAAAATTATATATAACCTGACCACGTAGGAAAATAACATAATGAACACTACAAAATCAAGACAAGTCCAAACTATTTTGCAGTTTCAGAGACAAAAAAATATGAAGACATATATATCTATACACACATAGATATATGCATTTATAATTTGTTAAGAAGATCCAAGTAATCTTACCTTACTACTACTCATTGCTGGCCACGTCTAAGCTAAAGCAGCAGGTCCATGGTGAGGTACCACACATCCGGGAGGAAGACACTTGAGAAAACGTGCAGTGAAGTCTCACAGGCGGGATCATAGGTCTAGCCGAAAACTCATGAGCTGCGAGAAGAAATCCACGGAGTCAGGACTGTTTTCTACAGAGAAAGGGGTAAAAACAGACAGAGGAAGCACAGCAGGCTATTACTGGAAATTAACTGTGACGGTTTATCACAGGCATCCAACCACCTACCTATCTAGTCACTGCTTACTCCCTCCGCATTTCCTTCCACAACTTTCTCAATATGTAATGCATTTTACGTTCTCCCCAACCTATTCCATTTTGAAGAGGTCATTTGAGTTTATTTTTTTGTTTTCCCCCATTTACACAGCAGAACACTGACTTTAAGTTTGAAACACATCAGAAGCAAGTGACTACACTAGTTAAAATACTATTATGAGCTAAAGAAGTAATTAAGTATATAAGAAAAATGTTCTCAAATTGTGCTCTGTGGCAGAAACTGAAAGACTGGAAGGCATAAAAGCATAGAAAGCAACTGTGGATACCAGAGACAGTGTGGGAGGAGGGTGGAAAGTCGGGGTAGGGGAGGGAGTAAACCAAGGAGAAAATAAACCAAAACGTTCAACAGATACTAAATGAAAAGTTACCTGTTGAAGACAATGTTTATGTTAATATATATATTTTTTAATTTTATTTATTCATTTCATTTATTTTCATTTAACCAGACAAAGACAGACAGAGAAGGAAAGTGGGAAAAGCAAGCCACCAGGCCCAGGACCCGAACCGTGGTTGGCCATGTGGGAGTGTCCAGCACCCTAACCACCACACCATCTGCTGGTCCCCATTATCTTTTTTTTTTTAAGAGAGATTTTTGCTATAAGGTATGTACGCTGGCTGAAGAGACGGAGAAACAGAAACAGAAAGCAAAAAATCACCTCCCAGGGGGATAGCCATGCCACAATCCCTTTTCCTCCATTCTCCTCTCAAGATTTTGGGTACACACACACACACATGTCCAGAGTATTTTAAGCCACTGGGTTCAGGACACTAACCATGGTCATTACATGGGAGTCCAGTAATGTAACCATTACGCCATCTGCTGGTCCCAATGGTAATATCTTTGACTGGACTAATGTACAGCATATTCACACTAGGAAAATTCATTTTCTATGCTGTAAAGCTATACAGTGACTGAATGTAAAAAAACAAACAAACAAACAAAAAAAAAAACAACCAGAATGAAAATAAAATGAAAAATTTAAAAAAATAAATTTTTTTTTTTAAAAAAGAACTGAGGAGGGTTTAAGAGGGATTCTCTCATGAATGAAAATAAAATGAAAAATTAAAAAAAATTTTTTTTTTTTTAAAAGACTGAGGAGGGTTTAAGAGGGATTCTCTCATTGGGACCAGCAGTTAGCGTAATGGCTATGTCGTTGGACTCCCACATAGTCGACCGTGGTTCGCGTCCTAGACCCGGTGGCTTAAACTCACGCCAGGCGCATGTGTGTGCGTGCCCAAGATCCCAAGAGGAGAATGGAAGAGAAGGGATTGTGGCATGGCCATCCCCCCTGGGGGGTGATTTCTTGCTTTCTGTCTCTCTGTCTCTCTCTTGTTTGTCTGGAGAGCGCATGTGCGCTATAGCAAAGAAAAAAAAGGGGGGTGGAATTCTCACATCAAAACACTTTCTTCCTGAAATACTTTAGTACACCAAATGGCTGGCTGTTCTTTCCTTAATCCTTAATCCCTTTGAAACTGGGAGACCTTCTAAGGAGTTTCTTTCCTACTGACTTTCTTCTTCATCGCTGATGTTAATATATACACTGTATAGCCCTGTTCAGTTTCTCGGGGTTTTTTTGCCTCATGCCCTCCTATAAATAATCTCAACTTCCTGGTTTATGATCAACTCTTCTCTTCTCCCTGGCTCTTCTTTTTTGTTTGCCTATTCTGTTTCCTGTCATTTCCTCTACTTCCTTGACTATCACATGAATCAGATGACATTTCATGAATGTTACCAAGAAGACTGTTTCTTTCCTTCTAGGCAGGAAACTAACCAAACACTGCTTGTCAGACATATTCTCCAAGTCTTCCCACTTTTCTTCTCTTTCACCCATTTCCAAAGGGCTCTTTGCCTCTGGACAAGCATTTTATTTGCTTCTTGACTTGGCACTGTTCCCAATGCTAGAATTGGCTGGAAATTAAATTAACATGTAAGTAGTCTCAGTACATCCCTCTTCTACTAAACTGTGACACGATTGAGGACAAGGATTTTTTTCTGAATGTAGCCAACATCTTCCACAATACCTGAAATAGAATATTCTATAATCACTAAATAAGTGATTATAGAATGAATGAAATTCCAAGGTGAATTATAGCCTTCTCTGATTTGTAAACTTTGTTGTAAAGTAAGGCTACAATAAGAGTTGTTATAGGGACCAGCAAGTGGCATGGTGGTTAAGGCGCTGGACACACCTACATGGCCAACCACAGTTCAAGTCCTGGACCTGGTGGCTTGCTTTCTCACTTTCCCTCTCTCTCTGTGTGTGCCCCTCTCTGGTCATATTTAAAATAAATTAATGAATAAATAATTCTTTAAAAAAAAAAGAGTTGTGGGACCAACAGTTAGCATAATGGCTATGTCACTGGACTCCCATACAGTTGACCACAGGTAGAGTCCTGGACTCGGTGGCTTAAACTGACACCAGGCACATGTGAGTGCATGCCCTAGATTGCAAGAGGAGAATGAAGGAGAAGAGGCTGCAGCGTGGCCATCCCCCCTGGGGGGTGATTTCTCACTTTCTGTCTGTCTCTCTCTGTCTTTCTGGTGAGGGCAAGTGCCCTATAGCAAAAACTTCTCAAAATAAATAATAATAATAAAGTGTTGTTATATTCAATGACAAAATTCATGGCTTAAAATGAAAGTGAAATGGAAAAATTTTAATCATGACTTCTCATTATATTGTTTTCGGAATATTCAATTAAACTCCTAAGGTACAGTTCAATAAACAGAATTTCATAGAGATTTTTAAGGAACAAATGTACTGCTTATCTAAATATGCACATTACATAAGTATCTAATTCCATTCCAAAGACAGACCCCAAAATTATAGGATCATCTATTTAATTTTAGATTATTTTGGACTCTCCTATCAGCAACAATAGTTGAGATACATTTAGAATTCCATATTCTGTCCTCTCAGTGTATGGATTTCAAGACCTAAGTACAGGAGAGACAGCTCTTTAACTGGATTGTATGCCCAAGATTGGGCAGTGTCAAGAGTCTTCTCATCAAAGCTAGTAAAAAGCTCCCATATATTATCTCAATCTCCAACTCCATCTTTCCTATCATTTTGATTTTTCAATAAAAAAGACAGCATTTTTCATTGATACTGAAATGGTTGAGGTTAAAAATAAGTAACAACTTCTTTGCTGGCCTCTCTAAATAGAACTTTTCTCTATTCAACCTATTACAAAATCTATGAACATACAAGTATATTCTTTATGGTATTTCAAAGCTATCATCATTCTTATCAGACTCTTGCAAAGATTTCCATGCACAACCAGTTAAAATGTATAACAACTGGGCCAACTGGAGGCATGGTTAAATTGGGTAGATCCCACATGGCCGACTCCAGGGTTCAAGTCCCAGACTCTATGGCTTGGAACAATGCTAGGCTCATATATATGAGTGCCCAAAATCCCCAAAGAGAAGGAAAATGGAGGAGGATGGTGCCATGAGCACTCCCCAGTGGAGTTGCTTTCTCACCTTCCCTCGCTCTCTGCCTCACTGTCTCTCTCTGGCAAGCCTTCTACCAAATGAAACAAAAAAAAGTGTAATAACCATTTGCAGCATAGCTTAATCATCCCATCAACCTCCACAGTTACATAAGCTATCCCCTGTAACTCGCACTCGTAGTCACATCAGTTCCTATGTTCTCCTCTTCACAAGCAGAGCTAGAGTGAAGAGCAAAATTTAAGGGAACACTCTCACGGTCATGTGAGCACCACCCTGCAGTTACATGACCCAGACAGCAAGTCCTGCCTCACATTTTGTGTCTTGGGCACCTCTCCTGCCTCACCTAAGTCCTGACCCTATTTCTTTTTCCTACATCTATCTGCCTACGTCTCCAATAAACATCCCTTCTTCAAAAATCTAATTCTGATAAGTTAAATGTCTAAAATTAAATGATCAATTTAAATACAATTGTATATCCATTTAAAAATATATTTTAAAAGACAACTTCTTACTCATGATGTGATGTTAAGTAACATCACGAAATATGAGATACGAATGCCTATATATAATATGAATCTAATTTTTAAGAATTATTTATTTCATGTTGATTATTATTATTATTTTTAAAACTGACTGGAGAGAGACAGAGAGGGAGAGAAAAAGAGAAAATAAGAAAAGCAAGCTGCCAGTCAGGGACTCAAACCTCAGTCTCCCTCATGGGAGTCCAGTGCCTTAAGTCACCACATTAAAAGACCTGTATTGTTTTTTACTCTGAATCATATATTGTTCCTTCTTTTGGTAGAGGCATCTCACTTTTCTTTCATTGAGCTACTCTTCTCCTGGCCTCAATTCATGTGGTTTGGGTGACATTAATAATGCTGAAGCTCCTGGATTTGACACACAGTCCAGGTCTGAAAAATCTGCAAACTCCTTCCCATAAACAATAGTTTAGGAATGAGCACGGGACCCAAACTGGACAGACAAGACTGATTCCTAGCAGTTTTGCCAGAACTAATAGGAAGGAAAGCTCTCTTTCAGCTGAGGTTACTAAATGAGCCAACCCAGAAAAAGAGCCAAGAGATGGAAAGAGAAATGGAGAAAATTCTGAAAACCTTTTGCCCCTAGGTCTGAGTTCAGATGTGAATAGGTGTAGCTCCTAGAAATTAGGATTACTCCTGGGAAAAATTCCTCTTTTGATCTCTCATGTTCCTGCAGAGTCGGGGCCTTCACTGTAAAAGATACTGCAAGGCCATCTGCATAATAAACAGCCTTAGAAGCTAGAGAGAGTATCTTCCTAAGATAGAAATCTCTAAAGAGCCATGGAAAAATGAAGCCTTCCCTCCCCCCCTTGGAGACATTTACTTACACAAGCACTCCTCACTTCCTCGCGAGGAGCTCGAGCTGGAAGT